AAGATTTCAAGGCAGTGTCGGGTGTAATAAAAATAAATAAATATTTTTTTTCTAAAATTTCCATTTTTTGTGGCGGCAGTTGTAGTGACTGGCCAAAAATAAAATTTTAATTTTTATTCAAAAGCATCATTATTGGTGGGCGGAAGGTTTGCTAAACAAGGTATAATAAACTCTTGCCTTAAAGGTTTACTGTTAGATAATTAAGGTGCTAAACTGAAACTAATAGATGTTTATAGAGTAGTATAGTTATTATTACATAATATAAATTATGTTGTAATACCACCAATCTTGAAATAGACTTATTCCACAAGTTCTTATAAACCCTCTTTTTTTTTCAAATACTATAAAATGAAGATTGATAAATGTGAAACAAGATTTTTTTTTTGCTGATTTTTTAGGATGGGAGTATACAATGCCCTACGTGTAAGACCATATATGGCGTGAAACATGGAAATCAGCCGCCTGGTCGTATGGACTATCATGTTATACCTCACTCGCTTCAGGGCTTTCCAGACTGTGGCACCATTAGGATTATATACGACATTCCACCTGGAACTCAGGTACTTCATTAATTTAATTCTTAATTGAGGCTTGTCATACCAATACTGTACCTGCATCGGTGACCAAATCAAGAAAATTTGACATTTTAATAGGTCATTTACTGGAATCAATTTACTCTTTTCAGCGAGCAAAATGGCCGAGCGCTTAAGGCAGGGGCACCGTGATCATAGCCAACAATATCGGCACGGGTTCGCGGCCGGCTTGCTCCTATAGTTCTGGTGGTGGAACAAGTCTTCTTGGATAAGGATTATAAACTGTAGGCCCAGTGTACACAAATGCTCATGTGCACTTTAAAGAACCCAGTACATTTTTTGAGACGAGTAGGGTGTTACCCCGGTGTACTGGTTCACTTGGCCCCTGTCGTGGACAGATGAAAGTGCGCCAGTTTACTGGTTGCAGAGGACATGAAGTGACCCTCAGGGTGTAGAACATTGTATGCTGGTCATTAACATACAGGGGAGGAGAAAGTTATTGAGAAGTACAACATCTAGTCCCGAGCGCATAGAGACCTTGTTTATTTGCGCTATATAAATCTATCTATTGATATTATTATTGTCAAAGTTATGAGTAAAAGTTGCGGCTTCTCTGTAGTTTTTATGCTAATAACTCAGTTTAACAATTAGTGATAGTACACTGGTTTTGGGATAGCAGGTCTCAGTTATTCAATAATTGTTTTATTCAATCTTTCATTAATTGGTGCTCTATTATTATCAACTTATTTATTCATTCAATATTCTTGTTATATAAATATATTTTATATATTTGTTACAGGGCTCTGAACATCCAGATCCCGGTAAAAGATACTCTGCCAATTTTCCACGTCATTGCTATCTACCAGATAATGACATGGGACGCAAGGTTTGTGATCAGCTGGATGTTATTTATAATCAACTACTCTATGTTTTAAAATAGTTTGCATAATGCACACACAGTTCACCCTCCAATTCGAGACCACCATTGGAACCTGAAAATTTGGCGTGGTCTTGGTCTCCAATTAGAGGGCTAGCTTTGTGTTAAAAGGTTGAAGATTGTTAGTTGGGTCTTTGGGAAAGTGGTCTCGAATTGGAGGGTGCACTGTATAACAATACAGTAGAGAAAAATAATTTGTTAGAAAACCACTTGGTATAAAATCAAATCGAACTGATAGATAATGTCAAATTTTTAAAAAAATCTCCAACAAGTGGTGGTTTCCGCCCCAGTAACCACCCCCCCCCCCCAATTTTTTCAAAAATATTTAAAATGAAGCATACAGAAAAGTATATTCAATTTTAAGCCCAAGTGCCATTTCAGGGCATCTAGATGTGCCATAATCATACATTTTTCTATTTCAGCCCTAACCGTGGTGGGGCTTAGGTGGTCTGGACCGTTCATCCATGAAAGTCCCTCCTTGTTCCCCCTCTATTTCGAATTCCTGGCTCCGCCACTGCCAATAATACTTAAAATTATTTGAGATATATTTAATCAATCGTGGCAGAAAAATGCATACATTGCAGCATCTGTCTGAATTGCATGAATTAAAAGTTAAAATTTTATACAAAAAAAAAAAACAAAAAACAAAACAGCAACTAAAATATAATATATATTCTTCCAATTGTGTTGTAGGTTTTAAAGTTACTTATTGTTGCATGGGACAGAAGACTAATCTTCACTATAGGGACATCAGCTACAACTGGACAAGCAAACACTGTAGTGTGGAATGAGATTCACCACAAGACAGAGTTTGGTTCAAATGTTACTGGTCACGGGTTCCCAGATCCTAACTACTTCACAAATGTTTTATCAGAACTGGCAGCTCAGGGAGTCACAGAAGAGTCTCTGGAAGACCAGTAGAAAAGAATGGACATCAAAATAGAGGACCGGTAGATGGGAATGAACGTCAGAATGGAAGAACTGTAGAATAGAATGAATGTCAGAATGGAACACCAGTAGAAGAGAGTGAACATTAGAATGGAACAATGTCAGTAAAAAGACCAATAAAAGAGGACAGCCATCAAGATGCTGCAAGAGCAGTTCTTTTCATATTCTAAAGGTGTCTTGAATGTATTTATTTATAATATTTAATTTTAGTTCCCTATATTTTTAAGGTTTTTAACTTGTGAAGATGTTAGTAACAATGGTTCCTCCCTGCATGTTTTTTTGTCATTACTTGTAGGCTAAATCAGAACATCTCTGACCAGCATGAGGAGAGGTACAAACAGAATTTTAAATACAGTAATTATAAGGTGCAGCTGCATAAGAAAATTGTAAATTATTTAACTATAGAGATGTTGATAAAAGGGTACATGATTACAGTGAAAGCAGAGGGAAGTTTAGTTCCATTTGAATATAAAAAATTGAAATGGCAGAATATAAGTGCTACAAAAAAAAATTATCAAACTAAAATATATAGTGTGTCCAGATTATGAAATTTTATGTGATGTGCCCATATATGGGCATGATGATGTCATATTACATCCAAATATGGGCATATCACATAAAATTTGATAGTGTGGACAGGAATTAGACCTTCTACAGTTGAAGAATATTTTAAACATTTTAAAAGCAAAATATTGTATGATAAAAAGTGTGGTATTTTTTAAGTTTCTAATTTCATGTCTAGATTTTGTATTTTTATTGCTAAAACCATTTACAAAGACATTTTTTAAGAATAACATTGATGTATGAACCACTTTTGCCATATTTTACCAATTTACAACTTAACCATTTGAAAATTTTATCTATATGCGAATACTAAAAGAATAGATAGACATTCTTATTCTATAACTATAATATACTGTAATTGTCAAAAATCCCAATAAATTATGAAAATTTATAGAGTACCAAAGTTTTTTAATCAGTTGCAAATTGTTACATTGTTAGTTTACTAATGTAGACCTTACTAAGTTAAATAGTAAAGGAATTTTATGACATGAGTGCTTTTAAAAGATTGCATTTTCATTTTGTTTGAAAAACTGACATATTGTAATTTCCCCAGCTAGCTTCTCCCATACAATGGAGAATTTGCATGTCTATCAAATCCAGTGATTGGGGAACTGAAGCCCTGAATTGTGTGGTAGATATTTGGTATCCTGTAGTGTATATTGAGGATTAAGACTACTGTAAGACTATTTGTAGCCTGCCAATCAAGTAAAAAAACCACACCCCTTAAATACTGTATATGTTAAACATACTTTTCAATTAGATTTAGTGATTAATATTTGGCAGAATTGTTGTTCTTCAGTATCTTCTCTCAGTGTTAAATCCTGCTGGTCGTTGAGATGGCCATTATCAGGCCTTTTAGTTGCTGGTGCTATATTGTACTTTATAAAAAATGTTTCTGCTCAAATGTAAATATTTTTGACCTACTCTAGCAAAAACAGGCTCTTGTCTCAAAAAAATGAACATTACACTATTAGATCTTGCTATTAATTGATGTAAAAATTGCGCCTGGTTTTGCAAGAGTTGGTCACATTAAGTACAGTATTAATGACGGGTAGTGATGTGGTTTGGTGGTTAGGATACTTGACAATAGCTCCTGGTTTCAAACAAGGATTTTTGTTTTCATAGATAAAAGAACAATTCCATTCCATATTTTTTTTTTTTTTTATGAGAATGAAAAATGCATTTTAAACATATACCATATTTTTATTACATTTTAAACAAAAAGGGTGGAGGGGATGGAGAAGGGTGGGTTGGTAAAATTTTAAATATGTTTACATTTCTCTATACAGTATAACACCTTTGTATCAATCAGTCTCAAGTGAAATGTAAATATACTTGTGTTTGGCTTTTAAATTTCAGGTAGATGCAGGGTATTTAAAGGTTTTTGAAAATTTAAAGAAATTTAGTTTGAGTGTTTTCCAGGACCTTCAAAGCCATAGAAACCCCGGGGGGGGGTTCACTCTTAATTATTTCTATACAGGTAGAAAGAAGAACGGGTATGGAAGAGTTTCAGCATGTATAGGGTATATTTGCTAGGACTTGGTAGCACAAATGTGGGAAATACCAGGTAAAATTGGTAGTTAAAGTCCCTGCTTCGTCCCGTATCATCAAAGCAGTATAATTTTTCACACGATTTTAGCGAACAGTAAAGATTGCGAACAGACATAACTGCAGTCTTATTCGCCATCGGAAACCAGAACAAGTTTAATTTGTTAGGTTACATGGCCGTAATAGTAGTTCAACTGATACTGGATTTTGGTAAATGGTAGTTCAAGTCCCTAATAATTTTCAGTAGAATAGGTAGCGCAAGTGTCTCATGTCTTGGAGTGGCTGCTGCACACCCCCTAAGGTTGGTATACAAGTGAAACAACCCCCCCCCCCCCCACACAGGCATAGAAAATGACTGGCTATGGAAAATTTATGTACGGTAATTTGACTTTCACTTCTGTTTCATTTGTTTTGTTGATTTTGTATTATCATTTTCTGTGAAATAAGGTCTTGAAATGTTATAGAAGTGTATGTGAGCCAATGTGTACCTATCCCGAGATGAATGCTTAGAGATATATTATAAGCCATGGTGTATACTTAATTCATACTTGCCATTCCACTAGTTTTATCATTGATGATAAATGGACATATTAAGAAAAACATCTCTACCTGAAATACCTGAGGCTAATAACAGCCTCCCACACATATTGTTTTAATTTAAATATCAATTCTGTCAACTTTTTTTTTTAACATTTGAGATGGAATATTTTAGTACACTACAATTATTCATCAGATAAGAGTTTTTATTTTTTTCTCATAACTTGCCTTACACTGAAGTTCAGTAATAGAACATCTCATTTAGTGTGGTTTATTGCTTGTTTATGAGCATCACAAGTTAGTGACGAACGTCATGAGGCTTGCATAAATGTCACTGTAGTGTTTTCTTTTCAAAGTGAATGACATTAAAATAAATGCAACATTAACAATATCTGTGGGTTTATGTTTCATTTAATTGACCTGAAATTCACAAACTCAACAAACTGATACACTGGACTTAGTATGATGGGAGCACAAATATTGGAGGTCCTAGTTTTGCAGAGGTGACTCCAGGAATTTTTAAACAAGGGGTATGAATGTGGGGATACCTTTGGTCATGGGCATGGAATTTATGCTGCAAACTTTGGTTTTACGCCACAAAATAGGATCAGCAACCTCAAGTTGCGTTAAATAACAGGTGATCTATGCCGACGCAACAAGGAAAATTACCCCCCACCCCCCTCCCAACACCATTCCACACTGAACATAATAATGTGGGTAGATGGTGCATCCAACACTAAATACAGTACTGTACTGTATATATTAACACTGGTTATTTCTAGCCAGTCAGTAGCTGAAAATAAATCTTGTTCTTTAGACTATAACCTCAACACCTCTGGTTTTAGATAAAATCACATCACTTAATTTTCTTTTCCAAATATTACGTGTAGAAACTAGCAGTTGCTACTGACTTGCATGCACTACAACAATGAAGCAAAGAAAAGTGTGACGTGGGAAATGACACTAAACAACTCTAATTTATTCCTCTGTCCTTTATTCGATTTTATTGTAAAATAAAGTACGTAAACAAACGAAAAAACCCTACAATATCAATACTGAAGCAATTAGTAGCTTCACACGTTTTAACAAATTAAATTAATTAGTGTTGATTTTGTAGGGTTTTGTGTTTACGGGGGCGTAGACACTATGTTAGCATCTGGCAGTTAACCCTGTAAGAGTGAGTAAATCCGGTGGAGGTGCATGGTGGGTAATAAAACCAAAAGGTAAGGGGTGCCCTATTAGAAACTGAATAGAATTTGAAACAAAATTCGAAACTCGAACATGCGTCACAGAGACGCAGCACACGTCTGATACAAACACCTTTTACTGTCTTTAGAAGGACGCCTTCTAGAGCGTGGTAGACTTTTGGGATACAATAATAGGAGGATTGCGTTTCAACTCAAAAAGTGTGCAGAAATATACGATTACAAACTTCTCAAATGAATCCCCATGCAGATAATTCAGTAAACATAATACAGTACAAGGCAAGAGACACACGCTCCAGATGAGAGAGTAGCTGATTTGGTAGCAGACTTCGCTGATGTGCAGTACTATGAAGACGCCGATGATGTACACTATGAGCTATGCTGTATTGCATGTTTGGATAACGTTTTTCTTTAAATTCACTGATCGTTAGTTTATAACTTTACATTTACTTTGTATGTATGACGTTTCACATTTTATATTTCTTTTTACCTTAATCCAATTTTTTTTTTAAATGTCGGAAATTGAGCAACTAAGACAACAGGTGGAGGTGTTAAAGACATTAGAGGGAGTGAAGACTGAAGCATATGGAGCAGTTGGTCAAAGAGAGTAAAGAAAAGGATGAGGTGAAAGGTGATGCAAGTGTCTGTGACCATCAGACAGTTGCACCTGTGTACATGAGGACGGGAATTTGGAAAGGTTCCGCGGAAGGCTGGAGCGCTCAACTGATCCTTTTGGTCAAAGAGAGTAAAGAAAAGGATGAGGTGAAAGGTGATGCAAGTGTCTGTGATCATCAGACAGTTGCACCTGTGTACATGAGGACGGGAATTTGGAAAGGTTCTGCGTAAGGCTGGAGCGCTCAAACTGATCCTTTTGTCCGTGAGTGGACTGGTTACGTAGAATGGCAACTCGCTACCCGTTCATCATTGACTGAAAAGGGGAAGGCAGCTGTCATCATTGAACACCTTTCACAAGAGATTCTAGGTAGAGGGCAGGAAATACGTAGTCACCTTGACTCTCTTCCGCAATTACAACAACAATTTTTTAGCTATCGGCAAGGTGATGAAGATGTCCTAGTCTGCTCACTAAACTTGGTCGATCTACATGAACAAATCATCCAGCTAGACAAGACGTTTGCAACTTCGACGCGTTGAAGCGCTGATTTGCTGAGAACTCGAAGATAGATGTAAGAGTTTAAATTTAGAACACCCTGAACTTAATTTCTTTGAAGCAAAGGACTGAGCATTAACTGTTGCACAGGAATCTTGCTGGAGTAAAAAAGGTACCGGTTACTATGACATAGAGGAAATATGTTCCGATGGCATCCCAGCCACACTGGATAACCAGGCCAAGCAGTTAACAGCCGAACGACGAAAACTAGATGCCATATTGTCAGCACTGAATAAACTGCAAGGGAGGCCTTCTGTTCATCGATGTTACACTTGCGGGTCAACAGATCATCTAGCCAGGGCATGAATGGATAAGAAACCAAATAAATCTTTAAACAAGTAAAGCTGTTTCGGCAAGCCACGACGCAGACTTAAATTCCATTAATATAAGCTCCTTTTATCAAAAGGCGGTAAAAAACTGTCCAGAGTAATTATTGGTAATGTTAAATTGCGCTGTCTGTTAGATACTGGCGTTCAGGTATCTCAATCACTGAATTATCTTCAAAAATTATTATCTCCTGGAAGACCTTTAGTGGACGTTGCTTCATTTATCAAGATATGGGCTGAAAGTACCCTACCTGGGCTACATAGAATTAGATTTAATTATAGGCACTAATAATGATCCACACTCATTTCAAAACATGGGGTTCCTTTGTAGTCAAGGACCCGATCACTCAATCAATGTTAGACTGCAAGAGACATACTGTTCAGGTATCATCGGTTCAAACATATTGAGGAAAATAAAAGAAAACACTCCAGAATTCCCAACATGGCTTTGCCAATATGATGAAGGTACACTGTAGACAAAATTTCTTGTTTTGTGCCAAGAGGTGCATGTAGACTGCAGCAATGTGACTGGCAAGGTGAGAGTTGCCGGAGCGAAGCCTGCACTCCTTCCCAAACGCACTATTACAATTGTAGAATGTAGTGTCAAGCCTGCTAGAGGAAAGTAATGAGTTAGACACTGCAGCAATACCTTAAAATTGCATTTCAATTGCGCACACCCTTGTCGAAATCAAAGAATTCAGTGACAAAGATATATATCCCCACCACGAACGCCAATAACAATGATGGAATAAGCGCCCGTTAAACCACAAATCAACTTACAAAATGTTGACGAAAGGAAGTCCGAGTAGAAGAAATCCAAAGCGAATTAGTGAAAGACCTCATCTCAAGAATGAAAATAGGTGATTTGAAAGTAACCCATTAAAGCAAGCACTAATCAAACTCCTTAACAGCAAAACATATTCAGTAAATGCGAAGACATTGGTTTCTGCAGAGAACAGTGAAATTACATGGTTTCTGTAACACTATCATTCATAACATAAATACTGTACTGTAGACAATATCCCAATAAAAGTACCACAGACGTATTCCCCCAAACCAATGGGGAGAAGTAAGAGACTACCTGAAGTCTCTTTAGAACGAGGGATCATAAGAGAATCCTCAAGCCCATATGCAGCATATGGTACAAGTAAGAAAGAAAGATGGGAAAATCAGATTCTGTGTTGAAGCGATCGCTAAATGACAATAAAATAAATCAAGCCAGATCCAGAAAAGACAAGTACAGTAGACGAGTGGCCAAAAACAGTATGAGAATTTTTAGGCTTAGGGCTACTACAGACTATTTTTTCCAAATTATGTCAAAATAATTGCTGCACCCTTACATTCATTAACTGAAAATAAGGTCTCTTATACACATCTAGATTACATTCATTAACTGAAAATAAGACCGATTCCAAGAACAAAAAGTTGGGGGGGGGGGGGAGAGAGAAGAAAACTAGCTGTGTTCCAGGATCAACTCACATAGATAATGGAATGCATCATGCTAAGCAGCATTTGAAAAATTAACAGCAAATAAGGGAGATAGGCAAAAAGACTAAATTTGGGTGCACCTTGTCTTTATTGTACTCACCTCAGAGGTAGAAGCAGGGAAGTAATCAGCTCCGTCATTATTTTAATTCTGAATTGCTCTACATTGATCCATTGAGAGACAGTATGTTAATCTGCTTGTCTGGTGATTTGCTAGGGGTTTTTTTCATTTGTTTTTGTTCCTTGTTGACAATGCAATCACAGATCGAATAAAGAACAGAAATTAGAGTCGTCTGGAGTGTCATTTCCCATGTCACATAGTCCCCATCATAACTGGTATTTAGCATAATATCGTCACTGTTTTCACGAACAGACACAAATTTCGATTTCGACGAAGAAGTTTTGAGAAAAACGTATAAAGTGGACTACTTCACAAATCCGTAAATTTCACTATCAAGATAACAAAATTTTTATTATTTTTTTTTTTGTACATAAGCTCAATTTATTTTTCTTAACTTTAATTAACTTGTTAATTAGCATGATTAGTTTTGGTCTTTCGTGAAAACAATCAGAATAAACACAGCATATGTGGCAAAGGCAAGCCAAACCAGTCAATCTTCGCAAAAATCGATTTTTAGTTATTAATACTTAGTTATTAATACGGGGTTAAAGATAAAAATGAGAGCTATATAATGGTAAAAGAATCATCTACATCCAACATTTCCTTAGGAAGTTGCAAGCGTTTAAACATACAGCTGTGTAAAGTACAATATTTGAGAAATCAGCCATCAAAGTTTATGATTTCGTGCATTTCTCAGGCAGAAACCATCAACAAATTGCTAAAAATTGTTGTTTTAACATCGAAAGTGGGAAAAATACCACCATAGCATGATATATAGATATAATAGTTTAGTGCAATGAAATAGATAAATTCAAAAATTTTGACATTTCAGCATGTTTTGGCCAATATCTCTCAAACACGATTTGCGACGAGTGACTGGTATGGCTTTTTTTTTTGCCACATATGTTGTTTACACGTAGAATGAAGTTTGTGTCACTTTGTGAAAACAGTAGGCACTATACGCTCTCCCGTTGTTGAGGCACAAACTTCCACAAACAGTATTTTAGCTAAGGTTTAACCATAGTTGTATGCCCATATATAGTCATTATGTGATATCATCCTAATCATATTAAAGCGTATAATATGTTTTTGTCAAATTAAATTTGATAGTCTAGGCAAGTAACACTAACCAAAGCTTATGCAAAGTGCTCAACACACAGGCTTTATGTTAACATTAGCACCCACTATAAAAGTACTTTATAAGGAGTGTAGAAGATGCTGAGAACATAATTCAACCTCTACTTCTTGGGTTCAAAAGAGCTGATGCATGCTAATCAGCAACTCATCACAGCCAACATATTGTTAAAAGAGCACTGTCAGATTTAAAAGAAAACTTCCAGCACCAGTTGTCTACTTGATGACTCCCAAGTCCATGTTGACGGCATATTCCAGCTGTCTTGATGACTCCCAAAGCCATTCTGATGGCATATTCCAGCAGTCACAAGATAATGCATCAGAAACCATGTCACCTCTCACATATCAAAGTTCAACATATGATGCCATTGCATCATTTCTGATTCTGGTGATTCTGAAGTTGCTGGAGAGGTGGAATGTCATTTCCTTGCTGCATCATTGGCTGTGCAGCTCCACTTTGCTGTGGTTGCTGTTGCTGCTGCCGCTGCTGCTGAGCCTCCAGCTGCATTTGCTGGAGACGAATCCTCTTGCGCGCATAATGCTGCCAATGCAGTAACTGTTGGTCATCAATAAACTTTGCACACTGTGAATTAACAAGTTCTTTTCTAAAGTGTTCATACTGGAGAAGTTCAAGAAAATGTAAACACTGAGGGTACCTGAAAGAAGACAAACAAATCATTAGTACTTTTTTAGGCTCCCAGTATGTGTCAACTGCTTCTCCATGCTTTCTGTGTTGGCAATTCATTAGAATAACTGTACAAGTATATACCAGATTGTTGTTACTTTTTAGTAAATTTTCTAGGACAGGTCTTATCTAGCAGCTCTTTGTGTTGTCAATTCAATTAATAATTTACTTTAACTAGGAGAAGTCTTATCTAGCATGGCATCATATTTTGTAGACTTCATAGTCTCATGACCCATTCCATCACTCCTCCACTGGATTTATTCTATCGGATTTACGCTTACAATGTCAACTGCAAGACGACAACAAAGTGTCTACTACCTCCATGGGGTAGTAGACACAATAATAATACACATAATGATAGGTCTACATTAACAATATTTCAAAACATAATTAAAAAGTTATCTTACTTGAGGAACTTTGCGTACTCTGATTTACGCCAATACTGGAGGTACATCAAGTAGTTTATGAATTTGGAATCCTTGAAATAACCTCTTTGAGCAAGAACTGAAATAAAAAATAAGATGAAGTAAAAAATTACCATGCAACTGGGTGTTACATGTAGGTGAGTGAGGCATGGTAAATACCTAACCCAGCAACAGATTTAGTATAGTGATAATTCATTAAGATGATACTGATAGGGATACTAGATGTTTTGCTTCATAATGCAAAAGTCAAAGCTAACATTTATTCATCCAACTTTAAATGAGGCATGTCGTGGCAAAATGGTTAAGTTGTCGCACAGTCCAGTATTGAGTAAATGGTCTATAAAATATGGGAGCTTAAAAAATTGCCTAAAAATCCAAATTTGTTTTTCACTATAGATTTTAATGTCTTATTTTTTATCTCCCAAAGTATTAGTTCTGGAAGTGGTCAACAAATTGTTTATTTAACGTTATTTTGATAGTTCATTCTGCTGAACAATGTATGCACAAACAACTTTGAAAGGCAATTACTCAAAATCATGTTTATCTTGACTCCTTAAGTAATGTACTTTTACTTTCCAATAACTTCGGCTTGAAATGTCCAATTTGAATAAGTGACCCCTCATTTTAAAGATCACATACTCAGGTATCTGAAAATACCAATAACTTGAATTTCAATTTTTGCTACAACTCAGCCATTTTGCCTTAAATGAACTGCATCACCCTTGTTTACACAGTGTATATTATGTATTTAATATTCAAAATGAATATCAATGAAAACATAACCAAGTAACACATTGTAATAGAAATAGGTAGATTAAAATGACATTTATGGGTGTGATGTACTGTAATGATAAATCAAGATAACTACTTATGATGATGATAATGAATTTGACTGTGGTGTTGATGATACATAATAATTAGGATGGACTTAGAAGTGATGGTGATGATGACTACGATGATGGTAATAGCATCTGATGTTATTAATACTGATAATAATATTTAAGATACTACTTGTTGCAGGGGTTCTGAGTCTCCAAGAAGTCGAGAAGGCCTTCCGCAAGCAAGAAGAATCTCCCAGAAAATAACCCACCTCTCGCAAATTCACGCTATTTTCATGTTTTTTTATCAATATTGTATTATCAATTGTCTCCCGGAAGTCGGTGCCAATGGGTATCACCATACACAGAGAAAAAAAAGCTCATTTAAGTGGCTTCTTCTAAATTGGGACCCTTTTATAAAATAAACAATATGACACTAATCAATAGTTGTGGTTCTATAGAGATAAACCAGTTACCTCAACCAAATACGTAATTGCATGATGGCTGGTAATAAGGAACTATGTATAGGCCCACCAGCCCTAGGCCTCTACACTATCTAGATTACGGTAGGTAGCCCAGCAGAGAGACAGCAGTCCGACCCACACCTGGCCAGCTGCTTGCCTGCCACTCTGGCCAGGCAACCCGGGATTCTATATGTAGGTAGGCCTAACCCTAGGCTAGGCCCTATTATAATGTAAATACATGATGGTATCTGTAGTAGACTGTATCTGTCAGCTACTGAACAACCGTGCAGTGAAAGCCTATGTCTGGACTTAAAATGACAAAGTCTATGAATTCGAAGCTATTTTTGTGTTGTACTAAACCAAACAATAAGTACCAAGATGAAAACTTACCTTGTTCGCCAGAGGCCGCCATGTTGTTTTGATTTGGTTTGGTGTTTTTCGGTGTTTTTCGGTGTTTTTGCTGTCTCTTATTCAAAAAAAACTAGGGTAGAAATTATAGATGGACTCCATAGTTATGTAAATATGATAATTATTCCAAGAATTAGAATGGAGTGTAAATATGACATTAGATTAAAGTTAAAAAGTTCAGCAAAATAGTGATTCCGCTACCATGAAATTGCCCAGGTTTCAAAAATGAGCATTGCCGGCCTTCACCAACTCTGTACTTCTTTCCATATCTTTCAACACACTGACGTTGTGAGAAACTTCACTGTCGAGTCACGTACTGCTGATTAACTTGCATATTATTTCGTTAGAAAAACATCTCTTATTTTATTCAGTTTCTCAATAAAATTAGTTTCATTCACATTACATTCCATAAATGTAGTTATTTTTATTCTAGGCCTAATAATGGCATTAATTATACAAGTAACAAGTAATACGCAGTGCAAGTCACTAATCAAATCCATTGCTAGGCCCACCTCCACACAGGCAGCAGCGGCAGCAGCTTCAGCAGCGGGTGCAGGCCAACTCGGCCACAAGTCAACTCGGCCACAGTCAACTAGGCCACAAGTCATCTCGGCCACAAAAAGTTTGGCTACAGCCAACTCGGCCACAAGCCAACTCGGCCACAAGTCAACGCGGCCACAAGTCAACGCGGCCACAAGTCAACTCGGCCACAAGTCAACTCGGCCACAAGTTATTTAATGTAAATCTCTGTAGTTTTTGCATCCTTTTTCTTCAATATCATGATTAAATAAAGTACAGTATATTTTAGTAAAACAGGACCACCACACTACCAAAAGAGATTTGAATGCTATTGCCTATGAATTAAAAAGAGTTATTTATTAAAGTGTTCGTCTTCTGTTTACTCACAACATTCTACTTAAACAATATTAAACAACAATAAATTAATATTTATTTTAATAATACTAATTAGTCATTATGACGATAATAAAGGTGATAACAACAACAACATTAATAGTAATATTTATTTTAACAATACTAATAGTAATAATACTAGTATGGTAATAATAACGATATTATTTAAATATCAATTTTAATAACTAATTAGTGATAACAACGATATTGAAGGTGATAATAGCAATAATACAATAATAATAAATTAAAGATAATGTTTATTTTTATAATAATTAATAGTAATACTAATTAGTAATAATAATAATAATGATACTTAAATACTAGGCCTACTTAGTGATAATAGGGTAATAATATCGATAATAAAGGTGACAATAACAATAATAATATTAATAATAATAACAATGAGAAAAATACCAATAAAACACCAAGAACAATAACTTTTTAAATTTCTATTATTAAAATAATAATACTAAGACTAACAAATAATAATAATAATAATAATATTAATATTATTATTATTATTATTATTATTATTATTATTACAGTATTTGTTAGTCAATAATAAATCGAAAATTATTTATTATTTATATGGTACTGTAATAATAATATCAGCAAAAATTTGAATACCGTATATAATGTTAATGCTAAGACTAATAATTAATATTAAAACTAACGGTAATAAAAACAACAATAACAACAATGACAACAATAATAACAGCAATAATAATAACAATAAGTATAGTAATACGGTACTTAAAGAATTAGTATTTTATACTTGATGAATTACTTCTTCAAATTGTAGTACCAGTAAATGATTTGTGGCCGAGTTGACTTGTGGCCGAGTTGACCTGTGGCCGAGTTGATTTGTGGCCGAGTTGGCTTGTGGCCGAGTTGACTGTAGCCAAACTTTTTGTGGCCGAGTTGACTTGTGGCCGAGTTGACTTGTGGCCGAGTTGACTTGTGGCCGAGTTGGCTTGTGGCCGAGTTGACTGTGGCCGAGTTGACTTGTGGCCGAGTTGGATCGAATTCGCAGCAGCACCTCGGGGACAGTTGGGAAACATGGGAACGTCATACAGACGCACTTCGCTATTGTCATCCGCTGCCGGATCTCATTCCCAGATCTTTACACCTGAACGACAACAGATCCGGTACCGGACCTCTAGCCACAGGACAGCGTAATATTACAATACTGTACATATATAGGCCTACAGCAGGATAGGCTACCTAGAGGCCTAGTCCTCTAGGGGCCCGTTTATACAACACACCAATATCCACATTCTCAGCCCGCCAAAGTCATGTGTGTAGTATAAACGCCGTCGGATTGCGTGTAATTACATTACCATCTGGCAAAGAGGCTACTTGACGAACCGGCCAAATTTGGCCGGTTCGCGACCTTGCGAAGCCTACTTGGCACCCTCAGGCTATTGTTTGACCTCTCGTAAACACAGCGAGCGGTAATTAATCAACTGGATGGGGTGGCTAACAAGACAGTTTATTCGGATAGATTCCGAGAAATCAATAACTGATAAAAATGCTTACTGGTATCGCGGGGCGTTTGAAATATTACATAATAGATTATGATTATTTCATTCGCAGCAGCACCTCGGGGACAGTTGGGAAACATGGGAACGTCATACAGACGCACTTCGCTATTGTCATCCGCTGCCGGATCTCATTCCCAGATCTTTACACCTGAACGACAACAGATCCGGTACCGGACCTCTAGCCACAGGACAGCGTAATATTACAATACTGAACATATATAGGCCTACAGCAGGATAGGCTACCTAGAGGCCTAGTCCTCTAGGATGTAGGATAGATACTAGATAGGCCTAGAATTAGCGAGCCTGGAGGAGTTATGATGGTTGGTAGTTTGAAGTGCATTAGACTTTTATTTCAATTAAAAATCTTATCAATGAGCCTAGCTTTCTTTAGCCTAGGCCCACCAGCCCTAGGCCTCTACACTATCTAGATTACGGTAGGTAGCCCAGCAGAGAGACAGCAGTCCGACCCACACCTGGCCAGCTGCTTGCCTGCCACTCTGGCCAGGCAACCCGGGATTCTATATGTAGGTAGGCCTAACCCTAGGCTAGGCCCTATTATAATGTAAATACATGATGGTATCTGTAGTAGACTGTATCTGTCAGCTACTGAACAACCGTGCAGTGAAAGCCTATGTCTGGACTTAAAATGACAAAGTCTATGAATTCGAAGCTATTTTTGTGTTGTACTAAACCAAACAATAAGTACCAAGATGAAAACTTACCTTGTTCGCCAGAGGCCGCCATGTTGTTTTGATTTGGTTTGGTGTTTTTCGGTGTTTTTCGGTGTTTTTGTATGCTTTCTTGCGAGAGGGCGCTAACACAATTATGTAAACATCTCATTCTGGTAAAATAAATTGCAGTAAAAGATATTAGGCCTGTACTTAAAATTATACAATATTTATTATATTAGTCTTATATATTGGTTGTAACAGGCCCATGAATATCGACGCTGCTTGAAAGGTTTCACTATATAAATTTTTTCGAATAATTTTCTTTAAAAAATGCTGTCTGTATTTCTGTACCGGTTTCAACTGTCTTGTGCTGGTCCACTCTGTCTGACCTGTCAATCAATTTATATTTTGTTCTTGTAATCTAGTTATTAGGTAAAGTTTTGCATAAAAGGCATGACAAATTATGTATATTATGTGTAAATTCGGCTCCTACCTAAGGCGCCGTTTAACAAAGTGCCCCTCTACAATTCTCTCCCTATCAAACTCGCCCCTTAAGTCGCCTCCTCCCTAAACTAGTCCTAAATAAATACTTGATGGTTTGACGTGGGAAAGACATGGCTAACAACTCAAATGTTTCCCTCTGCTCTTTATTCCATCCGTGATTGCATTTTCAACGAACATACAAACGAAAAAAAACAAAAAAAAACCCGGCCATCACCAGACAAGCGGATTAACATTACCGTCATTCAATTGACCAATAAAGAGCAATCTGATTAACTTTTCAGAAAGAAAATGTAGTCCTATAAATAAATAAATATATAAATAAATATATTGTGTAATAAAGCGATAGTCGTTTCAATTTAGTACATTCCCTAGATCCCAATTATCATTTGGAGAGGTCAGAAAATTGGATCTGGTTTCTATCAAATAACGCTATAAGACGCTAAATTATTCTCAGTCTTGATGAAAGGGTTAATACATTTCTCGTGTATTACTTTAATATTTATCCAAAAATGGTTTCAAGCAATAATTGTCACAATTACATAACCAATAATACATGTATGCAAACATGCATAACCAAGTAGGTGTTTAGAAATTCAAGTTTGCTCGTTTACAAATTCGACAAATTTGATAACGGCAGCGTCGCAGACGTACGGACGCACATGCATGGGCGATTGCAAAAGGTTCCTATTTCTTTAGGACATAGGAACCAAGTAGGCCTATATAATTTTTTTAATTGGTTGTTGTTTAAATTGTAGATAATATAAATATGGTTTAATCCGATTTCATAAAAATTGTCCTTGGTAAATATATGCCTGATCCCAGTCCAATGAGCATTTTCTAAGTGTCAATCAAACTAACGACTGACCAATCAGAACGAGTTCTGCATATTATACGTCGTTCCGTTTTTGTTTTTGTTTTGTTTTGTTTTTTTTTGGTAGCCAACCAATAGCAACAGCAGGTCCGTAAGCAGAATTTTATTGGGTGGGTGCGAATTTGTAGAGAGTGGACCAAAATGGCGGAGGGGACGGGGCAGGGGCAGAGCCCTGTTGGTGTAGGCTTGGTATTGTCTCATGGAGGTATGACAATTATTTTATTTGCTTACTAGGTCTAACATCATAAACTGTCCTAAAATGCATACGAAGCCAAATTAGCAGTAGATAGAGTTTGTCATACTGAGAGTGGGCGTACAAAGACTGTTGTATTCCTTGGTACGCCAAAGTTTATAGTAATGATGTAAAATTAAATACAAATATTGACAAAACATTAAATTCACGGAACAAAACGAAACGTCAGTTCTGATAAATATTTGTCTTTTCAATAGGTACAACAAGTGTTTGAGTCAAACTACGAAACAGAGGGTCACTTTTAGTCTATATTTGCAAAACATAATGTCAAGTACCGTACTAATATGTTATAGTAAAAAAAAAGTTATGCAAATTAAAGTAAATCGATATCTTGTGATGAAATCGTTTCGTCTTGAAAACATTCGGATTAATTTATATGCATAACAATTACAATTGGGTGACGTAGACAAAATCTTGCCCAGAATAGCCTTGGCATTGTATATAAACTTCCTCAGCCTTTCACACCTTCATTTCATCTGCCAGGAACTTGCTCGGAGAACAATCATCTCGAAACAAGTCAATGTAAGTTACGTACACTAAATATTTGTTATACATGCCTTAATTAGCAGATTTGTAGATGTTTTAATTTTGTATGATATGCTGCCACCCTATATATGCCTATACTGGCCTAATAATGGTACAATAAAGGAACTCAAAACTGTCGCAGTAAAGCTATACATAATTAGTTGCACAGCGCTAGTTCTCGGTGTGCCTACTTACTAAACTATAGGATTTCTTTAATACGCAAATTAATTATTGTAATTTATTTTTATAAATGATGTTACATTGTATTAAATGTTGCAGTAAACTGTACTTGAAATATGGTCATTGTGTGTTACTAAACTTTTAGGCTTTGTGTATTGCATACCCTACCCCAGGGCCGACGTGGACCACGACCGAACTGGCCATACCCACATAATAGCTAGCTAGCTTAATATTCTAACGTTTTGTTATATTTCAGATGATGCTCACTTACTTGTTCATCTCGGTCCTTCTTGCGAGCAATGCGAACGGACTGACTAGAAAAGAGATTCGGAGGTTCAAAGCAGACACCTACACAGAACAAAACACAGGGCTCCAGGGAACTGTATCAGTGACCACAACTCAGGGGACTCACACGATTGTAAGTAATGGTATTCCGGACCACGCTACCGCTGATTATCCAACTCAACGAAACCCTAATAACATCATCGAACAGAGCTACAGCTTCACTGTTCCAAAAAATCCAAGTGTGGCGGATCAATCAACTGCATTAAACATGGGACCGATTGGTAATAAAGTATTTTATTCATTTTACAAAATGTTTTTGGTGTGTCTTAACATGTTCTTTGATATGATCCAAAAAAATCCAAGTGTGTCTTAACATGTTCTATGGCAGTGGTTCCCAACATTTATCCGTTCACGGACCCCTCTGGACATAAATCTTCACGGGCCCCGTGTCCAAATACGGTAGTACTCATTGGCTATATCCCAACAATAAGATTAGGCTATACAGACAGAAGATGATTCGCCACAAAAGTACAAAATTAAACATCGGCGAATCCTGGAATTCGAAATAAAAACCATCTCAGCCCCACCATGGTAAAATATTTTTGTTACGTCTATACCACTTCTAGATGGCCGAAAATGGCACTGTCAAATTCAACATTTGAAGGTAGATTTCTTATCCCCATTCCCCATTTAATTTTTTAAAAATTAAATAAGGAATGGGGATAAGAAAATTAAAATACATTAAAATGTATAAAATTTAGGGCGGAATCATGGTTGACATTCCACCAATAAGATTATTGACAGAAGATGATTCGCCAAATTACGACATCTATAGATCTTGTAATTGGGTTCTCTGGTTGTGGCTGAGGTAAGAAATATTTATGTTTATGGTACTGGTGATGGCCGGAAATGACACTGTCAGACTCAATATTTGAATATTAATATTCTATTATCCCCCATTTACTTTTTGTAAAAATATAGGGCTCCCTCCTGATTTTTAAAATTTATTCAATATCCAGGAAAAAGCGATACAAGAGAAAATATGGACAAGATGTACATTACCGTGCTCGCGCGAATAAGCGCCCCGTTTGAATAAGCGCCCCTCATAACGTAAAAATTTCCTTAATCGCCCCGTTTGAATAATCCAATCAATCCTGGGACTGTAGATGTTGGCATGATTTGAGGTGTGGAGTGGAACTTCACATTCCCTTTATCAATATCAAAATGAGCATATCTATCTTGGACACAGATGAGAGCTCCCTGGACAGACAGTACATTTCCAACTTTCATCTAATTCTTACATTTGTGTATAGCCTAGTCCTCATGCCTTTTCCGATAATTTGCACCTTTTACACATTCTTATTCGCGCGAGTACGGATTCTGATTAAGGTTCAGATTCTTTAACAAATTATCGTTGTCGTTTAGGAATCGCTGTAAATGGTATCCCATTCTACAACCCATGGACACGTGAAAACACTGACGCCGTCGAATCGGAGACGTTCGACGAGTGTGATGGTCACCCGGATGGGAGGGGACGTTACCATTATCACAAAATGCCGAGTAGTTGTGTTTTCAACATCAGGGACGGTATAGCGTCAACCATAATCGGGGTCGCGCTCGACGGCTTTCCGATCTACGGGCCAATTGACGAGGATGGCACGGAGCTGACCTCAGCTGATCTCGACGATTGTCACGGCAAAGTGAGCTCCGACGGAAGCTACCGTTATCATACTACCGAAGACTTTCCTTACATTCTTGGATGCTACAGAGGTACGGTAAATAATTAATTGATGTTGGTACCAAGTTGTTCCAGTTGAACGAATATGAAGAAATATTAGTAGAGGCGTACGTATAGACCCATGTAGTAGGGTTTAGTTTTAAAAAAATATAAAAGTATTAAAGTGCAGGAAAAATATATTATCTATTTGTTAAGTGTATTATTTTGTCAGTAAAACATTAACACTAACACTAAAAGCGACCGAGAACAACGCATCGTCTGCCTATCTCCCCAAATGTATGCCTCTTTAAGTCTGTAGGCATGTTTGTCCTCCCTATAAATTATAGGCCTATATTCATCTGATTTTATTTAGGCCTATGCCTAAAGAAACTCAAAGGCAAGCAAGAGTCAACATATTCAACATTTTTAGAATACATTGCCATGACTGATAATGATGAAAATGACAGTGATGATGAAGATGATGATGATCGACGATTTGCATGACCGAGTTGGATGGCCGAGCGGCTAAGGCAGGGGCGCCGCAACCACAGCTATAATCGGCGCTGATTCGAACGGCACGCTCTCCTACGGTTCTCGTTTTGGAACAAGTCTTCTTGGAGAAGGGCTATAAACCATAGGCCTGGTGTACACAATGGCTTGTGTGCACTATAAATAATCCAGTACATCCAGTAGCGGGTTACCCCGATGTACTGGTTCATACAACCCCTGTTTTAGACAGATGAGAGACAGCTGGTGCCGGTTTACCGGGTAACTCAGACACGAAGAGACCCATTTCGGAGAAAAGACAGTTAAGTACGAGCATAGAAAAAAAAGTTCTATTTTCTCTATGGTACGAGCTCGTCCACACCTCGAGCGCTTTGAGAATTAGGTATAAAGCGCTATATAAATCCGATCACATTACATTACATAACATAGGTGTGTGGTAACTTTTTGATAGTCGAGTGATTGAGTGGATGCAGGAGTGCCGTTAACAAAAATCTTAACATTTGTGGTGGTGGTACTGACCCTCTTCGCCCAAGGTTCGGGTCGGTAGGTAGAAACCAGATTTTCTGATAAGAATTAAAACCGGACAATGACGCACTGCGAGTTATGAGTTGATTGTATTTTCTTGCCTTTATCTTTACCGAGTAATGATGATGACCAATCACAAAACCTACTGAGTACTGGTAATGGGTTTTTTCCCGACACATTCCTTGATGGTAAAAAAGCAAAACGAAAAACAAAAGGCAGACTGTAGAAGACATACTGTAGTTTTAAGCTTATGCAGATTGCCCGGAACTTTATCGTCACATTCTGATGAAATAAATGAGTTCAATTATGAAAAATAACAATCAGGATTGTTTGAAGTTACCAAACGTATCGTAAGCATGGGATAACCCTAACTTTAGCAGTATAAATGATGGTAAACAAAGCAAAACGAAAAACAAAAGGCAGACTGTAGAAGACATAATACAACTGTAATTTTAAGCTTTAATGCAGATTACCCGGAACTTTATCGTCATATTCTGACGAAATAATTGGGTTCAATTATGATAAATAACAATCAGGATTGTTTGAAGTTAACAAAAGTAAGCATGGGATAACCTTGACTTTAGCAGTATGAATAGAAATGCCCAGCCCATGTCCATTTATACCTCTCACATAATCTATTTTGTTCCGACAATCTGGAAACCAGTCAAAGTAAGTCAATTTACACAGCTTTTGTATCCTAACTTTTATATTAGCTATGTTTTTAACGGTTATCCATTAGTTCTTGAAAAAGATATATTTGATATATTATGTCAGTATAATAATATCTGATGGCATGAAAACTACTATTATAGTACTGGTTTCCTACCTTTTCCTACGGAAGTTCGGAAGTTCAGACCGATTTGGACTGAAATTCCGAAGGTCAACCTCTAATTAAAGACCATTCCAATTAATTGGACCGCCTCCAATTACAAACCAATTTTATGCGGTCCCATATTAACAAATGTCTGTTATCTTTATTGTTCTAATTAGAGACCAAAGCTAGGCCTACTAAAGACCCAAATGTGGTCTTTAATTCGAAGCAGACCTACTTAGATTTACATTACATTTCAGATGATGTTCTGTCGCTTGTTTTCATCAATTATTCTTGTGAGCCAAGTACATGGACTGACTAGAAAAGAGATTCGTAAGTTTGGAAGTGCCACCCACCTGGAACAAAACACTGAAGTCCAGGGAACAGTAAGAGTAACCACAAATAGAAGGCGTAACACTCACACTATCACAAGTAACGGCGTTCCGGACCAACACCGATAACTGTCCAGAACCACGTCTTTGTTATTCCAAGAAATCCAAAGTGGCTGATCAGCCTACTAAATTAAACATGGGAACAATTGGTAAGAGTTTCTCCAATTATTTTAAACATGAAATATATAATAAACATGAAAACAATCAAACACTCGTTTGATTCCAATTGACGTATAGATAACAAATTTTGCCGAATATTATCATTACGATGCTTTCATTTCTATAACATAATACACCGTTAATTGTATCCATTCTACAATCCTTGGACGCGTGAGAAAGCTGACGCCGTCCTCTCAGAGAAGTTTGACGAATGTGACGGTCACCCGGATAAACAAGGACGCTACCATTATCACAAAATGCCAAGCAATTGTCTCTTCAACGTCAGAGCGGAGGGCATACCGTCACCCATCATTGGGGTCGCGCTCGACGGCTTCCCGATCTACGGACCAATTGATGAGGATGGCACTCGTCTTACGCCGGCTAGTCTCGACGAATGTCATGGTAATGTGAGCTCTGACGGAAGCTACCGTTATCATGCTACAGACGACTTTCCTTACATTCTTGGATGTTACAAAGCAACCGTGATTAATTGACTGTGTTAGAGCATATCACTTTGTAGGCATTTTCATATGTCATCAGATTACATATATTATATTAGAAATCATTAAAGCATTGGAAAATATGTACAGTAGTGTTAATGTGCGACATTATATCTGCGGCACTTTCCACACCAAACAAATTGGCATCATGTTTTCTAAGCACGGGGGTAGTTTGTGGTTTTAAGATTCAAGAATTTTTATAGATCTATAGGCCTATATAAAATATGTCTCATATATAAAAATATACCGAAATTTGTTATGCTTAGTAGAAAAAATTATGCGAACGACAATTGAATATACAATTTACGCCAGTTTTTAGCGTTAAAGACCGTGCGAGGAATAGAAAAGAACTGATCTTGTAAAATTGTTCGCCCTATTTTTTTTTAATTCGTGAATTCTTGGTTTAAACTTTGAGTGAGATTACGATTCTAAGTATTCTATTAAAAAAAATCCATTTGATCTATCAACCTTTTCTTTTGGGATTTTGTCTTAATACAATTTTATGGAGGTTCGGCCTTGGTCATAGGCTGAGGTACGCCCACACTTTGCTTGGTTATGTGAAATAAGCCTCGAAAATACAGACCGTATTTTTTCATTGTTTGTTAATAATAAAACTATCTACTGAAATAATACAGTATATACAATGTGACAATAAATATTCCTAATAACCTTTATTTAACACAAAATTTTGAAGGCCAGTTAAATATTTGTTTATAGGCATTAGAAAAATACAATGGCATGTCTTACTTGGAAATTCAACCTTAAATTATCTGCTTAAGTCCACTGCTTTACATTTTGATAGCTAGTGACAGTGATGGTGATGATGGTATTTGAATTAACGATAATGAGATTGGAAATGATAATGATATAATGACTCGATGATGATGATTATATTAACAAAATTCTCAAGTTAGTTACAATAGAAAAATAGAAAATGCATTTCAGTAACCAAGTCTTCAAATACCCGTAGTAAATACAAAATTTTCCGTACACCTAATTATTTGTCTTGTGTGCAAAATATGTGTTACTTAAATTACTACAGGTACCGGATAATAACAGCGGTCGGGTGGAATTTCAAAGAAACGGGTGGGGATGAATATTTACAGAAAACCTTTTCTTCGTTTTCACGATACTTTATCATTAATCTGACAAGTATGAGTTGTCGAGGGACAATGTACTGTACCATATCCTGATAGAAAGTCATTTGTTCTGGACTTATTTTATATTGGACCTATTTATTTATGGGTCTAGGCCTATGTTAAACTTTCGTACGTCCATAATCAGAGCAACATTTCCGTAGCAACTACGGAAGTTACGTACTTGAGAAGTCTGTAATAATAATGATAATGGCTGAGATGTTATGGTGATGATGACGATGATAATGATAATAAAAGGCGAATTTTAATACTGCAATAGTTTTATATAAACATACATTTAAGAAAATATTACATAATATTCATTCATTCATTCATTTTCATTGATTCTTTATTCAGCCAATGAAATAACATACAATACAATGAAAGGAAATTTAACAAAAACTAAGACAATATATAGCCTAAGTTGGCTAGGATTAACTATAGTGTGAAAAACACTCTGGCTCTCAGGCCTGTTAGTCCGGTCTTAGGATTTTTTAATATAGATATATACAGACAATGATTAAATTAAACAATAATGTAAGTAAAATCAATTGAAAAGCAAAGCATATAACATAAAGTAATATAAATAAAGTGATATTAAAGGTGACATGAAAATAAACAAATACAAATTAAAGTAAATCAAAACTTCATTTTAAAAAGGCAAGGCAGTTTAGAGGGATGTATATTATTTAATGCTAAATAATTACATTTACAGAACAATTTGAAAATTAGAGAATGAGAAACAAAAAAAGATAACCTACAGGTATAAAGAAAAATATGGGCGGGCAGATAGAATTTCAGCTGTAAATGTATATAATTAGTATTATGGTCCTATGCCAATATTGTTTTAAATACAGTATATAATTAAGCTTGAAAATGGGTAATTTCAGGAGAGAGGGGGAGAGATAAAGTGAGAAAGAACGGTTAGGCTCATTATTCAGTAAATAAACAGTTAGATAAATAAACAATCAATATCAGAATATAAGTTGCACAATATCTTTAAACAAATTAATAATTAGGGTACTCTACCGGTCTTTACCTAAACATAGTTTAACAAAAACAAAATTAGGAGTATTTAACTAAGTCTTAAAATTGATTACCTTATAAAATTTAATTGAAGTAATATTATTATTAATTGTTTCAAATTTAATCATATCAGGGGGTTGAGACTCAAACGCAAATATACTTAATACTGGGCGGATATGAAGGAATTCAATTACAATACTCAATAGAAAAGGTTGATTATTTCCTGATTACGTTCCTGGATAGAGATTATAATTAATACACAGCCAAGGTTTATTGTAAAGCCAAGCCCAGGACATGCGGTAGGATTAAAAGTACATCTCTGACGTAGGCCTACACCTAACATTATAACTATTCGCTCCAGGACCAAAACAGTTGGTTCTGATGTTGATTTGTCCTTATCCATAATATTAAGTCCAACTAAATAAAATTAATTGTTTAGCGTCACATCTTAACCAAATTTTAGGTGAGGAATACACTTATCACAAGTCCCTTATTTAGTTTTTTTTTTTCTGCAGCGCCACCAACGAAAAAGTTAATTTAGACAACAGTTTCAGAATAGATAAGTGAGTAGCACATTGACATTTTTAAAATTTTGAGGCAAACGGAGGGGGGGGGGGGACACGTGCCCCGTGCCCTTTGGATCCTCCCCTGCAAACACTCACTGAGCATGATCCTATATTTGTACTTTTCAACATCATGAACAAAGTAAATCAAAACAAAGACATTTTCAATTTCATTAAAAAAGTGTAAAAATTAATAATTTTCAATAGGTATACAATAAATATTACACCTGGCTGGTGAAATCATTGTTTTAATTCACTTAAAATAGGCATACACTTGTTTTGATTAACATTTCCTGAACAATATTATTTTTTTGTATAAAAAAATTCCTGCCCAGGTGGTGACGCTAACCAATATTGTTTTAATTTGGTATAACAAATATTTTTACTGACGATCAACATTTATGAATAGACCTACACACACACACACACACACCCACAAACTTTAACATGGTGACTGTGGCACACTTCCTCGGTTGCAGTGCTACTCCGTCTTGTAGGCCTACGTAGAATAGTTTCAAGAACGAAAGTACAGTTATGATTTTCTCAAAATGTCAGTAGCCCCCCCCCCCCACAATATGCCCAATTATTATGTATCGAATGAGAAAAACGATATGATACATCATTACGAACCAAGAGCATATATGATGAGAAGCAAGGATAAAATAATGTACAGTACCAGTGCAAATATGTTATAATTAACCTGCGTTTCTCTCATCGAGTCTCATTACTGTCAATAAGTAGGGCCACTTGAGTATAAAGTTACATTTGAGTGCTAGTGATAGTTAAGTTTCAGTAGAGACCTACCAGGGATGGAGCCAGTATTTGCCCGATGGGGTCCGATGTCCCCGATAAGGGGGGGGGGGACCAACGTCCCCGACGAAAGAAAAATGGGTGGTCGGGCGTCGCATAAAAATCACTCGAAAGTGTTCCAGGGGACGAAGCCCCCGCATTACGACAATGTTTCATGTCTAAATTCGATAAAACGGCAGTGAAGGTCGCCAAAAACCACTAAATTTGGTCATTTTTCAACTTCTGTTTGTAATAACTTCGCAAATACTTCATCGATTTATTTTGGGAAAAGATAAAACTAATCGGAATTTAATAATCATTACAACAATTACAAATTTATAATTATAATGTTAACACCTTTATCGGACTTTTTATTTTTATCAAACCCACTCGTGTATTTTTTCAGCGTAAAAACAGTGAAATCTGCCCAAATATCCCAGCTGTCTTTAACATAAATCCCTCTACAGTCGAAAGTTGTGGGCCGATTTCTTTTTGGAAAAGTCCATTCGAAAGCCCTTTTTGTCTTCTAAATGTATTCTAAATATATTGATCGGTTGAGTAGTTTTATCGGACCAATCAGATTTATGAAAATCATCCAAAACTCCTCCATGGCAGTCTGACGCCCACGTGGATGCAGAGCTTGAAATATACTCTGGAAAAACAGATAAAATGACTAAATTATCCTTATTTTTAAACAATAAAATTATGATCATAGGCAAAAGAAAAGGATAGAGATTTAATTGATGTAAATTATATGCAGTAAAATGTATAGATTTTTTAGTACGAGCAGTATATAAATGTCAGTTTTTGTAAAACACCCCATTTTTTTCGAGCGGTTCACTGGTTTGAGATGGACGATTCCATTTTCTTATGTGTACATGACTACGTACATGTGAGTGGTGAAGACTGTAAAGCAGGGTAGAATATGTCTTCTTTTGAGGGTAAAAATAAAACTGTTTTGTATCTACTAAAGATTTTTACTCAAGAAATGTGATACTGAATGGAATTTAGATAATTATGTATGTTGTTTAGAATAAAAATTGAAAGTCATATGAAAATGTTATAGCGTTTAATTTGTAGTTGTGGAAACCCCCTAAATTACAAATGAACTGCGCTTGACTGATCACCCAATTTTACCGTTAGCCCATGAGGAAGCTACCTAGAGGTCGAATTCAGCTAATCGATTTTACAATCTAACAAAAATGTGCTAAAATTCCAAGAACATAATAAACACTCCTTATATAAAATACTTTAATCGCGTGATTTATATTGTTGCTAGCTTTTCCTTTCGCTTGAGCAACTCATTCAACCAGAACGTGTTATTAATTAGTGTACATTGACCCCATTCTTCCATAACCAAACTTAATATTCACCAGTATCACTTCTGTATTATAATTTCTCTTGAGGTTCATTGTTTTTTTAGGCTATTGTGCTTGTTGCGTAAATATATGTATTTTGAAATTTTATAGGCCGTTGGTGGCCCTTTTTTTAGCAAATAAACATTAAATATACAATTGAACTGAATTCAATGCGGAACAATAACAGCATTTGCCGTTTCAACTTTAAACTTCTAGACGTTTAAAAAAAAAGTTTGATACAATTGCTGGTACTATTAGCATCCAGTTTTCTGTTACCTCTACAATAACACTACAATCTGCAACAAAACGGAAAAGAAGGACACTTAGAAACTCAGACTCGTGACTCGAGAGTTTGTTTTGTTTGTGCTGTAGTAATAGTAGTCACCCATGGTTTAACGTTGTATTCGTTGGCTCCATTGCTTTCAAACAGCAGCACTTAATAACTCCGTTGGCATTTGTAAGAAAAGAAGGAATTTCAATAATTATAAGTACTGTGTGCTGTGTTAGTATCAACTCAGTTAAAGGGCTGGCTGATCTCGGATTATAGGGTGAATTGACTTTAAGACTATTAAAGTACTGCAGGCCTACTATGGCTCAAGCCTTGGATGTATAAACAAAGGTTCAAAGTCAAAACGACGTTCCAAATTCACTTGGTGTCGTTTCACTTATCGTAGTAGTAACAAGGTAAGAGCGCTAGGCCTATCTAAATTAGTTCTTGTATAGTACTTGTATATGATACTCTGCCCTACATTAAGAAAACAATTTTCCTACTACTGTACCTCCTTTTGTGGTCCTAGTAGTATAGTAGTGTAGGCCTAGGTGAGCTTTACACAGTTCGTGCCATTTCCCTGATCTAAAATAACACAACGTGAGATAAGTAGTCTATTTATGTCACTGTCTGTCGTCTATGCAGGTCTCCCCGCCTCCGATTACAATTCTGGGATCGAGGTTTCTGATCTTTTAGCAGCTTTATATAATAAAGATACGGTAAACAATTTTTTAATTCTGGATTGCAGAAAAGTGACCTTTAATTGGAGCAGTGGCGTAGCGAGGTGGTCTTGGTGCATGACGGGCAGTACCATGGCGTATCTGGAGTGCGGGGGTGCGCTTCCCCAACCCCTAAAACAATGCTCGACCCCTGCAGTCGTCTCCTAAAAAAAAATCACACTGAAGTAGCCAAAAATCACCTCAAATTACCTTATTTTGCGAGGAGCTCCCCCCACCTTATAATTGAGGCTCCGACAATTCACCTTCGCTCCTCCATGGCTCCCACCCCATTTCAACACTCCCAGAATAATTTAATTTGGAGGGAGACCTGTAAAGACACTTCGTAGGATTTTATATCTTGTAGGTTTTCTGAAAGCAAATACAAACCAACCAATTGGCTGACCCGCTATCCTATTGTTGCAAGTAATACAATTTTAAGTGTATAATACTCTGAGCCTACGGATTTCCAATTGATGGATCGTGTACTGTATAGGCCTACTAATATAACAGCACACGAGCACGAATGTATACTGTAGATAGGCCTATATAACTTTTTTTTATAAGAACTAGTAAAATTTTACTCAGACTCAGTGTTGTTCTTTTTTGCCGATTTCAGGCTCGAAATGTTCTTATTTTGTTTTTATTTTATACACTTTTTAAACATTTGTACAGCAGTATATTACTATACTGTATTATGGATGGTATTACATAGTCACACCTACTGCAAACAAGGTTTTAAGATTTGTTGCATTTCTATTTAAAAACAAAATGAAAAAACCTCATTTGACATTTTTCTTCAACCTTAATTTGTTATTTTGTTTTAATGTTTAAGCAATTTTAGCCTCAGTGTTCTTATGAAATGTGTTCTTATCAACTTATTTTAGAATAATCTTTGAAATATATCGATTTAGGCATTTACTTGATTACGCTTGCAGTGTTTAATGATAAGCCTAGTGATAATAATTGTACCAGGATGTATCATAAAAGCCATTAACATTTTCAAACTAGGGAGTTATTATAAAAAAATGTAGCCTCATGTCAAGTAATAAAGACGTCCGTGTAAAAAAATAAAGGTGAGGCTGAATACCTACAAGAAGGCTTAGACCTCATTCCTATTTTACTGTTAAAATTAATCAAATTGACCTGTCGCGCACTAAATTATCCTTGTTTATATCTCTCTGACCTTACTCTCAATTTCCTGATCTAACGCTTTGCGTAAAATTTCAACATGTTAACAGAGCCACAAAGCGTTTCACTATGTACGGGGCAAGTAATTTTTGACGTCATATATACTGAGTCATCTAAGACAAAGCATATTTCAGCTGTTTCTATTAAGGTTGTGGAAAGAAAGCGACTCATTGTTCTGCAAGGCGATCCAGTATTTCGCAGCTTGACACCTTACAGCGGACTTAAGATTTAATATCGTCTGGATCGATTCTTTCGTTAATGATTTTGTAGGTCGACTGAAGGATTGCGTTTAGCAGAATTGCTCCAGAAAATTAAGATGATACCTCCATGGGTAAAACAAAACTCTGATTTAAAATAGAGAGAGGCAGAGTTGGGGCGAGCAGACAATCAGAATCAGAGCGCGGTAAACAATATACAGACTGCTATCATGTACGGTAGGTCACTTCATGTATTCTCATGTTTTATGCAAGATAATACAGGATAATAAAATATTAAATATATTTCATAAACAAAGGAGGTGAGTACTACGAATTTACGTGACCCACCAGAGGTCAACCAAGGGCATAACAGCCGGATAGAATTCTAGGAAAAGCATTAGTAGGCCTAGTACAACTTCAGAAAAAAAATACTGCAGTAGAGTATGTAGGCCTAATGCACGACTAGAAAGAAAAACCGATTGAAATCTCCGTGGAGAGTTTACTTCCTGAGGAGTAGTCGATTACATCCGGAGAATACTAACGGGATTTTAAAATAATCTACAATTTATTGCCTCGATGATTTTTTGTTAGAAACAGGACGACATCTGTACCATATTTTTCACGGTTGCTGACCTAGTAGCTCTATATACAATACAGTACGTATATTGATCTTTAGCGTATGACTTGTTAACCCAAATTAAGTTTATCAATACAATAGGGCATTTTTACAATCGTTTATTAGGACTACAGTACTACTATTATTGCACACATGTTGTATAATGGAGTGGAGTTGTAGCTCGGAGTTAAGATGCACGCCTTCCAAACTCATGACTCTGGGTTCAAATCCCATGACGATGAGACATTTTTATATTTTTATTTATTTATTTATTTATTTCGAAAATCATCCAACAGCGGAAGCCAATTACAGGATGTCTTATAATACATGTAAATATATAGAAAAATACAAACAAGCGAAAGATTAATTGATAAATAACATTACAGTATAAAAAGGAAAAGAGAAATTTACAAATATATTGCGAGAAATTACATCAAAATTACAAATTGATTAATAAAATTACAGTATGAAATGGAATAGAGAAATTTACAAGAAAATTGCACAAAATTACATCTTAAGCTAAAAATTGCAAGTTCAAAAAAATACAGATAAAAAAATAAACAAACAAATGCAAAACAAGTAAATGATTGATAAAATTACATTAGAAAATCGGAATAGGTAAAATTTTTTATAAAAATATTGCAAATGACATCTTAAGCTAAGAGTTGCGAAAAAAAAGAAGAATAATAAATAAAATAAAATAAAAGAATAAAAAATTAAAAAATTAAAACTAAAAAAATAAAAAAAATAAAAAATTATCTCACGACAATAAATAAATAAAAGTAAATAAATAAATCCGATCCGGGCCATTGCAAATCACAAGTGTGAACTTAATATTAAAGCATATTCATTTTGATAATGTATGTAAGTTCCTGAAGCCTTTCTATTCAATTCGCAGGTAATGACATAAACGCATGTGATACCGTAGATGTTAACCAATGTAGGCGTATAGGCCTTACGGTATATAACACGGCATTATATTATGATGATTATTCACAAGAGGCGGATAGAATGAACACCATAACTTCCGATTCACGTATAGAAACCTTTGCTAATTCCTGACTCAGTTATTGCAGTCGACATGTGTTTCGTTGGTAATGCATTTGATCGTGTCTAAACAAGATCAAGTTAGACAATTTTTAAGGAAGAGGCGTTAATATTTAAACCCTGAACACTTTATAGCTATATATTAATGGTTGATTTTTTTTGTGCAGAATTGATTTGAGAATTCGTAATCTGGTAAAAACTTTAGGAGGACTACGCTCATCATCATCATCATCATCATCATCATCATCATCATCATCATCATAGGCCTATGTATAAAAAAAAGCAAATCTGAATCAGGCTTATATTTAGAGGCAAAACTCTAATCAAATATAGCATTTAAACTGATTACCGACCATTCATTTATTTATTCATCCATTCATTATTTCGGTCAAATCAACATACAGATCACGGAAACTTCATAAAATTTATAAAAAGATATGTCGCAGAAATTGCAAGAACATGAGAAAAATTACCATACAGTTAAAAGAGCAGTACTGTTGATATATATTTTAATATATCATAATGTGCGTGCATAGCTTTTAAATTACTACTAGATAGGCATTTTTTGTTTTCAAAGCATTTGTGTAGGAGAAAGAAGAAGTATAACTCCCTGGTTTTTAAAGGCGGCCCATGGGCCAATTTTGGCCGCTGGGCAATTTACTTTGGCTCACGAGGAAAGCAAAAATAATGAAAAAAAAAATATGTAAAAAATAAAAGTGAATAATGAATATACATGAATACATATAAAGTACAACAAAAATGCAACGGGGTGGTTTGAAAATTAGCAAGATGATCATACACTTTTTTTATAGGCCTATATAAAAACACATTTTATAAGAACAATGAGAGGCTGAAATTGCAATGATTAAGAACAAAATAAGAACAAATTGAGTTAAAATGTCAAATCAGAAAAACGAGAAAATTATATCTGTACCTTTTGTGCAGTAGTTGTGACCATGTAATACCCTCTATAATACAGTGCAAGAGCTGCCATTTTTACCGGGCCTTTTTTCTGGGGCAATTTTTTTTCCGGGGCAATTTTTTTGCCGGGGCATTTTTTCAGGGGCCAGCAGTATAAGTGCACTGATAGTTTTGTATGTTTGAAAAGTGTGTGAAATAAGAGCAAAATAAGAACATTTGAGCCTGAAATCGGCCCAAAAATAAGAATAATGAGCCTGGACAAAATTTTACTGATTCTTATTTTTTCTTTTAAAAATGTAGGCTGGAAAGAGAATAATACCGGTAGCGCCAAAAATCGATCACTTGGTACTAAGTTCCGTGGTTCTATTCTTCAAACGAGCCAAAAGCGCGTTATGATTTAGGGGTTACCCCATTCAGATGTAAAAATAAACCCTGTAAACAAAACTACTAAAACAGCTCCCAAGATTGGTATTCTTTAAGCTCCGCTAAATTTAACATAGCAGCACAGAGGAAGTAACAACTTTATCATAGGCATGTTAAAATTTTAAGGACTGCGAAGTCCTGATGAATGGTAAAAGAAGCCCGTTGTTTAATCATAGGTAAACACAATTGGGGATCTAAACCTCCTCAGTCCCGCCATGGTTGTGGCTGAGGTTATAAATTTATGATTATACAAGGTGCTTTATAGATGACCGGAAATGCCGCTCACAGACTTAAATTTGAATATAATTTTCTTTTTGTTCAATTTTTTTGTATAATTAAAAAAAAAATAGTGGGTGGGGGAGGGGTGTGCGGGCCGACTGCCCCACCCCTTGAATCCACTAGTGTAAAATATATATCTGATCGTCACACTGTAGGCCTATAAAACAATATAGGCCTAAGCAGAGCGTGCACTTGACCTTTAATGCTTGACTTTCTCCACAAAATTTAAACAAATCGTTAGAATAGACCGATTAGTACCGATTCACAAACGGTTATGATTATGTTCATTTTATTAGTTTTTGCATAATTTTCCCTTTCAAATCACTTTTATTCAATAAAATTTCAGAAACATATAAAAATATAAATATACAGTAAAAAAAAGGATTGAATAAAAGGAAGAATAAATAAATGAATAAAACTCTCTAGGTTACATCCTTAAAATAAGATGACAAGGGAGTAAAAACACACAC